TTTGGGAAGTCTGTTTCCGAATTCTAATAGCTCAAATTAGAATTTATTCATTGAATTATACTGAAAAGTTTTGTAAAAAGAGATTAAATCATATATTGTTGCGGATTCGGCAACTTGGGTGTTTTTGACTTGAAAGATGATCTTTTTTTTATATTTAATAGAATTTGACAGTTTGAGGATTTTGACGTTGCAAATGATGATAATTTTCCAAAATTTAATGGACCAGTGTGTTGAGATGTTTTCTTGTTAATATCAAACTCTCCTGATTACAGTATTGACTTCTTGAATTAAATGTTGTGCTGAGTACATGTAGATGGCATTATGTAATCTCAAAGATGTTACAGCACAAAGTCGCTTTTCTTTAGTGACTCTAACAAAGGGATGTTGAATAATTACAGCACATCAGTTTAAGTACATATTTCTCGGTGTTTTCTATGGAAAAGGCCACATGCAAATGAAAACTGTCTTATTCAGTTATTGTTTCTCACCATTAATTCTGGGGCATACTCTCTCAAAAGGTTGTGTCCGAAAGGTTGTATTTTGCCAAACAAGGTGCCAAGAGAGTAATTTTCTTCTTTTTTTTTATGATTACAGAGTGCAGGTAGCAAAACTCTTGTAGATGAGAGTCCTGGTTTTTAATTTGGATTTGCCCATTGAAATGTTTCCTGCAATACCTGAGTAAAAATCAGATGGATGTGGCCTTAGGAGAGTTTGTATTAACTTCGCACATTGCAACCATTATAGAAAAGCATTATAAGCAGAAAGCAACACCTATTAATACACCTATAGACACCATCACTGTTAGAAGAGGTTTGAACTGTCTTTCAAACACTATCAAATTTCACCTACCAAATCTTCAATCAACTCTTCGGCTCTGTATAGATATTCTAGTATAGTATGCAGAATTCCAGACAAAGTCGGAATACTCAGTTGAAAATTTGGAAAAAGGTACCCGGGTAGACTGTGATTGTGTTTGGAAGACCGAACCTTTACTATCACATGAAGAGCAAACAGAGCATATATGTAAATGGTATTAGTATCATTCAACCCGAAACACAAAGAATAAAAGATAAAATTTAAAGAGACTTAAGAACCTTGAAACTTGAATATGAGAAAGGAAAAGATAAACAGATCTTGACCGCCTTCTGCCAAGATACTGTACTAAAGCAAGTTAAAGAAAAAAGAAAGAAAGAAAGAAAGAAAGAAAGAAAGAAAGAAAGAAAGAAAGAAAGAAAGAAAGAAAGAAAGAGAAAGAAAGAAAGAAAGAAAAAAATGAAAGTGTACTTTTACCCTCATTAAAAGTGCACCAGCATGCTAAAACGTTCAGAACCAATAACACCAGTCTATTCTATCTTAGCTATAGCTTCAACAATGAAGTCCAAAGTCAGGTTTTGACATCACCAACTTTGAAGGGACCCTTTTTTTTTACCTCAAAGTGTTTTGGGTAGGAATTCTAACCTAATTCTTGGATCAGGTATTAATGTGTGCATAAAATCGGTTTCAGAAAATGTGTGTGAACTAATCTTGTTACTCATTACTGCTAATTTCATTTGGACATAATTGTTTAATTAGTTTGATCCAAAAAAAAAATTAGATTTAGCCATTCAATTTAGCCAATTTCAGTTACACCCTTTCGGTGAGTTTGATCCATGGCTCAAATTATTTCTCTAGGTATCAGTATTCTGATGCCAAAAAAGGTTCAGCCAAAGTTTTTTTCAACTGAAACTGATCGTGGATGTGTGGATGAGTAGAGACTTAAACAATGGAGCCTGGGCCTAAACACTCCATTGGGTCATTTCTCGATAAAAACACCACATCTACTCCAAAATCAAGAAAGGGCCGGGGGTTCCCTGAACACACACCTGGATCTCCAGTGGTCCATTATTTAAAAAGAGATTGAAAAATCTGCTCGAAAATCGGCATTGGGTCAGAAGATTACCTGAATACACCCCTAGGATCTCCAGTGGGCCATTAAAAAAAGAATGCTTGAAAACCTACACGTATCATATCTCTGGCCTGGGTGCCATCCTATTTGTATACCGGGGCTCCCATACTGGCTCCCTACTTTTTTGGGGTGGGGGGGGGGGTAGAGAGTACATGTATAAGGAGTCCAGCAGCAAATTAGATGGAACTCAGGCAATCTGCTTCCAAAACGTCAGACTACACCAGCATAAATGTAATTGTTTTTAAGGTGGCATGAAGAGAAATAAGAATTTTATACCGTGATGTAGCCTCTCTAGCACAATCAAGCATTTCGTTATGGATAGCACATGAACAGCGTGATATTTCCAATACAACAGATGTTATACACACTTCCTAATCACAAGATTCTCAATCTCTTTCTTATAACATTTACACGCTTTACATTGAACTTTAAATTCTGAGATGAAACCTTATCTGTTGACTAATGGATAAGCAAGCAGATGGAAACCAACAATTACATACCAACAAAACAGGGTAAAGATGTTAAACGTGTGTTTTTTGTCCATGTAATACACGTATCCTTCCCTAGTAAAAACACTCTCTAAAAAAACAAGAAAATTGCTGCGCGGAAAGATCTGAGGTGGCCCAGTTTCTCTAGAGGCATCAGCGTCTGGACTGGACACGCTGGTCTTGACCTGTAAAACAATTTTTTTTAATGTTACACTACACCAGATAGCACCATTGCTCCCTAATGACTAACTACATTATGCGATCTGACCATTTGTCTTATATAGTCAATATCAAAAATATGCTGGTGTACAATCTTCTTCAATGTTCAAGTATCTGTAACCCCATTCTACCGAAATTAACATTTCCCCAAATACCCAAATTATTTCGGTCCTGAGATTACGTCACGGTCGAATCCTTGTTGGGATCGATTTAAGAAAGTCAAAAGGTGGACTGGATATAGTTGAAATATCTCATAACATTACGAATGAATGGACATCTCATTATTGCTGATACTGCAACTGTAGAATTGAAACGAAAATAGTCGTTTATTGGGATAATATGACCAAGCCAATGTAATTGACCTTTGATTGCCTCGAACCGCCACATCTTGTTGGGGTCAATTGGCTGCGTACGGGCTCGTAGCACTGCGCCTTGTCCATCGTCGACACCGATGATTCGCTCTTCATTGTCTTTCAACTGGATGGTTTGATCATCTGTGATATATATCCATTTTTGGTCTGTTCGATTAGCGTATGGTACGACATTGAGGCTGAAAATGATGATAATGGTGTGGAGATGTTACTTATGACAACTCATGCACACACCAGCAGTAGCACAATAATGCCCTCATTAGCACTTTTGCCCTCAGCAAAGGCACACCAGTGCGAAAGTGGTTATCAACATTGTACTTCCGGTGATGAGACAGCGTTAGCACTATAGAAAACCTCCTGTAAGCACAAGAAACCGAATACAAAAGACACCTGCAAAAGTAAATGTTTTGAAATGCACCATCCTAGAAAGCATTCCAAATTCCACCGACACACCATACTGATAAGCTCTAGCTAGCTCTAGACTGTTTTCAAACTGGCACCGATTGACAAAGGTGAGCGCTTTTTCTTAGAATTGAATATTTGAACAGAACAGCAAATGCGTCACAATTCCTTACGGTTTTCCAGGTTCCGTACTCCCATCCTTGACAGAGAGAGCGAAGCCACTCCCTACGTTCACAAAGCTGTATTTCTGAAAAAAAAAGGCATATGGCGATTTCTATTACCTGTACCTAGTAACTTTATCGTCATTTGTGGCGCAATACTATAATAGTGCGTCTGTAGTTACTGGTTTGTCAAAGTTTGAGCCGTACATAGATAGTCTGCAAAAAGGGAAATAAGATAGGAAAATAAACTAGAGAGGCCGACATTTGCTTGGGAGCAAATACAGCATATTTCAGTCCATCTCCCTCCCACGCATAAGTGGACTATTCCAAACTTACCCCAGTGTAAAACTGGCAAAGATTCTCAAATAAATGAATTATATACTAGTAGTAGCTATGTAATTGAGAACAAAGATGCAAGAACAAGCACATTGAAGCTCGAAAGCTTTACTAATCTTCTTACAGGTATGCAAATACTAACAATGATGAGATTTGATACATTTTGAATGTGTGGGTCATTACGCACGACTTACGTGCAATGTGACCTCAGGTAACCCGCAATGGAACACGTGTTCCATGGCCAACGGCAGATGGAACGTGCCATTCTTTAGATAGAACATGGAACGGGTATAGCACTTTTGGCCCCTTTTTTGCTGAAAATAGCAATTAAAGTCCCCCAAATTAGTCATTTGGAAGTGGTGTATGCCAAATATGTGACTGCTGTTCTGTAGACACATGTTCAAGGTACCCTTATACCGAATTTCAGATCATTTGGTTGCAAAACCAGGGCTCAGGATCCAAAAATCCATTTTTTGGCGAAAAATGCCCCAAAAAACCTTCATAAAAATTTTTCAAAGGCATGTATCAAAAAAATGAAAAAAAAAACACCTAGGGTATTGGCCCACTCTACCTCCATGCCAAATTTCAAGTCATTTGGCTGAATGATGGCTGAGTTGAATCCCTTTGACTGTGTGGCAGGAGGAGGAGGAGAAGAAGAAGAAACACCAGAGAACACTAGAAAGGAGAGAGGTCAGAGGTCACCAGCCAAGATGGCCGCCTTTTTGGATCCTCCAGCCCTGGGGATTTAAATCCATCCTAATCCTCAGCGGGGGAGGATTCCAGAGGCCATCATGTGCATCAGATGAGTAGTAGATAGGGTTTAGAGTCCTTTTTTGTTTCCATTTTTCATTTTTGTTTATTAGTTAGGGAGAGATATCGTAGACTGGATGTCAAGGCATGACGCCCCCCTCCCACTCGGATGATCTTTATTTTTGAGTTTATAGACGTTTTTCTTTTGTTATACTATTTGTTTTGTGACCTCTAGAAGACTGCGACATCCTGAATTGGAATCTAGTATATGGAATTTTCTTATTTAGAGACTACTTTTGAGGAAAACCCCCAGTGAAGCTTTTGAAATATGTTCTCAGCCAACATTACACTCTCTGCGATCGTTATCATCGTCTTCAGTTACAAAACCTTCAAAGCTGATGCAACTTCACCCGAGGATGTGATCTTGGACGCAGTTAGTTTCTCTGACAAGACTTTGTTCCGTATTATGGGTGTCTCATACTGTGCCTTAGTGGAGTCCATCACTCGTTCGTCGACCCGGAAGTCTGCTACCCTCCCAAGCTTCTGTAGACAACGACTTGTCCTCTTGTATCTTGCCAGCATTTTACTAAGTAATTCCTACGCACCAGAACCCAACCCAGGCCCCGAGGAAGCTGTACACGGAGCTCCTGTTGGCTCCCAGACTCACTCATCTTGGATGTGTGGAACTTGTGACCGGACAGTGGGCTGGGACGACAGAGGACTGGCTTGTGACACCTGTGGACAGTGGTTTCATGCCCACTGCCAGAGCATGGATACAGAACTTTACCAGCACCATGAGGATCTCGGAGACAACTTCTCCTGGCACTGTGCCATCTGTGGGAACCCGAACAGTAAGACAGTTTTTGACTTATATGGAGTAGAGCAAGAATCACAGTCAGGGATGACACATTCAGATGCCTCCATAAATTCTTGTTCGACTCCTACCGAGCTTCAAATGAAACGCCCACTTCACTCATCTACTCCAACAAGAATAAATCAACAGGATAAACAAATGAAAAGGCCTCTTAGATTGGTGAACTTAAACCTAGCAGTCATCACCTGGTAAGAAAGCGGACATCCTGAACATGATTGACAGTGTGAGACCTGACATTATCATTGCCACTGAGACTTGGTTAGACGCTACTGTGTATGATTCTGAGATACTTCCGGACACATATAGGGCATATCGTAGGGATCGTAACAAGAATGGTGGTGGGGTAATCGTGGCAGTACGCACAACGCTCAAAAGCAGTGATGTACCAGAGCTGCAGGTGGATAACTGTGAGGTAATTTGGGTTAGGGTGAAGTTACAAGGTCGCAAGACCCTGTATGTCTGTGCCTATTACAGACCTGATGTATCAGATCGAGCCAGTCTAGAAGGTTTTAACGCCTCAGTCAGCAAAGCAGCGCAGATCCCTAACGCTCACCTCTTGATTGGAGGGGATATGAACTTACCTTGTTGGGATTGGACAACGATGCAGATGAAGCCGAACCCCCGATACCCTGGACTTCATAATATGTTTATCGACATACTTGGTGATCACGGCTTGGAGCAACTGGTGGACATGCCAACAAGGGGAGAGAACATTCTGGATTTGATCGTTACCAACAACCCTCAGTTGATCCCACGAGTAGAGGTCTTACCAGGTCTTTCCGACCACGACGCAGTCTTCTGTGAGGTGATCGTCCACCCCCAGAAGAGGAAACAGAATCCAAGACTCCTACCCCTCTACAAGAAGGCAGACTGGGATAGTATTAGGAAGTCTATGGCCGATCTAACTGACAGGATGGAGCTAATGAAAGACACTGCTACAACTGAAGAGTTGTGGTCCACCTTCAAAGACAGTCTTCAGACAGCCGTCCAAGAGTTTATCCCCCATAAGCTGGTCCGGATGAAGGAAAATAAGCCCTGGATAACTCCAGCTCTCCACCGCCTTATCAAGAGAAGGGATCGCATCTACAAGAAGATGCGTAAACGTGGAACACAAGATCTTAAGAACCAGTATAAGAAACTCCGTAGAGAAGTGCAGCGGCAGTTGCGAAGAGCTTACTGGTCCTACCTGGATAGCATCTTTGTAGAAGACGAATCTGGTCAGGGGGATAAAAACAAGAAGTTCTGGACGTATATAAAACATCAGAAATCGTCTAATGTTGGCATCGCTGCCTTAAGGGACGGAGGTCGTCTTGTATCCGACCCTAAAGAGCAAGCAGACATACTGAACAGACAGTTTCATTCAGTATTCGGAGATGGCAAGGCTTACTCCAAGGAGGAATTTCAGGACAAGTGTGATATGCCACCTGCAGATTATCCTATACTTGACAAGGTTAAGATCTCGGTT